GGGTTTAGGGTTTAGGGTCTATCCACCATACGAAATGCCTCTAAACTTGTCGCAGCGTCGGGTTTGAGATTCTGGAGAAGGATGCTGTAACACACTGGCACGCCGACAGCAGCAAAGGAGCTCTGCACCAGACCAAACCGTAGGTTTAGGGTTTAGGGTTTAGGGTTTAGGGTTTAGGGTTTAGGGTTTAGGGTTTAGAAACGGCGAACCCCACACCCCTAACATGAGAGCCTTGATCATCACATAAGGATGTGGGGGCGGTATGTTGCACTGCAAGTACAACATAGAAGCATAGGGATCAATGATGCTAGCATGCAGCTCCTGCATAAGCCCCTAGAACCTAAACTTCAAAGCCCCCTGACTACTATCACCGGCCTTCTCTCGCTCCAGGCGTACCGCGAGCTCCTTCTCCTGGTGAGTTCTAGGGGGTTCCGGGGTGGAAGCGGGATTGGGGCTGAGGGTTGAAGGGGCCTCGGGTTTTGGAGTTTTAGGGCTTACGGGTTGGGGTATAATTCAGGTTTATAGGGCTTCGCGGTTTCAGGAATCTGCGGGTGAAAGGCTGAGGGGATTCAATGTTCTTGGTGGAGCTTCATGGGAAAGCCGAGGTGACCGGCAGCGAAAAATTATGGCTTTGTGCGTACCACACAGAGGTTCTGACAAAATCTTGCCGTGCTGCATTGCGGAGGCTACTTAGTTCTTAGGTTGGTTTATTTTCTTACGGCTCTCCTTCGACTTTTAGATTGGAGGTTTTGCCATGTATGGTGCAAGGTTCAGGCTTTGTGGTTGACTGTTGTGTGATGCATCCGTCCTCGCTCTTGTTTTCTGCGAAGGCATTCTCCACGATGACCGCTGTCACGAGGTTCATCATCACGAAAACTGCGACCTCCGAAACAGCAAAGCATCACACCACATGGAACAGTGGATGTCGTAGCAAACGGCATGAAGTAACACTGCGCTGTCATACCATGCCGTTTCGTTCCATGTTACACTGTAAGTGTTGTATCGGTGTATCACATTCCAGCACGCTCTTCTGATTCATCTGCTGTGGTACTCCAGCACGTACCCTAAACCCTAAACCCTACACCCTATACCTGACCACCCGGAGAGCTCCTCCGAGACGCTGAAGAAGCTCTGCAATGTGAGAGTTTTAGGGTTAGGGTTTAGGGTTTAGGGTTTAGGGTTTAGGGTTTAGGGTTTAGGGTTTTACACCCACCAAATTCCGAAGGATCCCCATATACACTCACCAAAAAAACTTCACTCAAACCCTACATCATCACAGGACTTCGCTCTTACGGTTTAGGATTCAGGGTGCTCCCCTACCTCACCGGAGGCTCAAGAAGCCTGAAGCCTAACCTGGGGCTCAGGCAGAGATGAAGAAGATGAAGAAAAAGGCCGTCCAGGATTCGATCTTGGGGCTCGGGTGAGCTTAGGGGTCTTGGGGTTTAGGGTTTAGGGTTTAGGGAGGGTTTAGGGTTAGGTTTAGGGTCCAGGACCTAAAATTGCATGGTTTAGGGGTTTGGGTGGGGTTGGGGCCGGAGGCCCTAAGCCCAACACGGTGTTAACCCTGGGCCCGAAACGAGTGGTGAGTTGAACGAAAACGCCAACACCCCGCGGAAATACGGCTTCTCTCGTGTGAAGGGACCACTGATGTGATTGACGGAAGATCTCAACTCTTTCCTTCTAATGCTTCGTTGGGTATGAAGATTCTGAGGTTTTGTTGTTGTGGGGCTTGGATTCAGGCTTTGGGTTTACGTTCAGAGCCTGGTTTACGGATTCGATTTTGGCCTTGTGCCTCCTAGGCGGCTGGGTTGAACACATACAGGCAAGAGCCATCTGAACGACGCGACTGCATAGGTTCATAATGTAACCCTGAACCCTGAACCGTAACACAGAGAGAGAGAGAGAGAGAGAGATATATATATATATATGTCCCGCCACCATCCTACCACCCTACCACGAGCTCAAAAAAAGTGGAAAACAAAACTCGAAACAGACGAATATCAGAAAACAAAACTCGAAGTCACACACCAGGAACCCTCTCCAGGGAATCCCAAACCCCAGCCCCAGGGCGCAGATACACCTAGAAATGAAATCTGACCCTCGCCCTCAACCCTAAACCTTCAAAGCCCTAAGCCCTCAACACCCTAAGCCCTCAACACCCTAGCCAACCCTGCATCTTCGAAAATCTAAACATAAAATTCAGTTTCCGATTTGGGGGTTTCCGGAAATAGGGGACCCTAATGTAGTACCCCAAATAATAGGATCCTCAATATAAGGACCCCAAAATAAGGTACCCCCGAATTTTCGGGAACTCCCATTTCTTGGTCGGATATGGAACCTTGGATTCCTAAAACCGCCACAGTGCGGTTTAGGGTTTAGGGTTTAGGGTTTAGGGTTTAGGGTTTAGGGTTTAGGGCGCTTCTGAGCACCGCGGCGGCGATGAGGGGCCGGGCGAAGCCCGTCCAAGAGTCGAGGGTCATCAGCTGACAGGCTCCGAGGTGCGGCAAAGCATTTTAGGGTGTTGGAGGTTTAGGGTTATGGGGTTTAGGGTTTAGGGGGTATGCGGTACAGGAGTTTCTGAGTTTGGGAGTTGAGGACTTGGAGGTTTAGAGTTGGCTCGAGGATGCAGGATTCAAGGCATAGGCTTCTAGTTCAGGGTTTAGGTTTAGGGTTTAGCGGAGTTTCTGGGTTTGGGTGTGTAACGCTCAGGCTGCAAAAAAAAAGATTTCCGGTGTAGTAGAGGTGAAGGTTTAGTCTTTGGCTTGGCACTTAAGTGTAAGAGTACCAGTTCAGGATGAAGGGATTCGCCTAAAAGCCCAACACCACCAAAAGCCAAAACCCTCAACGCCTAAAGCCCTGAATCCTAAACCCTAAACCCTAAACCTCATGCCCTAAGCCGGAAGCTACGGCACGTGAGGCACCCATTACAAGTGCATTGGGCCCACACTTTCAGACTTTGACTGGCCTTCTTGGGCGTTCTAGGTTTGAGGGTGAGGGTTTAGGGTTTTGGGTGCGAGCTAGGGTTTAGGGCTTAGGCTGTTTAGGGTATTGTTGTGAGGGGTTTAGGGTTTTGCTTCCAGAAAGGAACGCTGTGGGGACCCTCTTTGCTTCGTGGCTAGGGCTTAGGATTCATGATTTAATGTTTCAGAGGCCACGGAGTTGAAAGCTGTATCGGGTTAGGCCTTGGGAGCCGTGGTGAATGGAGCTTCCCAGAGTCTTGACAAAGATACCCTCTCCACCCTAAACCCTAAGACCTAAGCCCTAAATCTTAACCTACTGATAAGCCAACTTGACTCTTAACCCGTTACCCTAAACCCTTAACCTGCTTACTAAGTGCCCCGAGCCCCACATGTCTGGATCCGCCCTCTGCCTGAAAGAGGGTGAACATCGACTTCACGACATCGCCAAAGAGCTCCTGGCATGACATCTAATATAGGGCCCTTAACAATTACCAATACTACTTCGGGGGTTCCTTGTTCCTTATGATAGTTATAGTATAATATACGCCAAAACCCTATTCTAATTATTAAGGCTTCTACATTACGCGTGACACGCTATACCTTAAACCCTACTGCCGAAAACATCCCGAAGCCAGGCCTTCAGAACAGGAGAGTCTGCATTCTTTGCGCACTACCAGCAACAGCAACAGTTTCACAAGATGGAAGCTTAATCCTCAAAGAACTCAGAAACCCTAAACCCTAAACCCTGAAATCCTAAACCCTAAACCCTAAACTCAAGGCAAAGGCCGCCCACCTACTGGGCGGCGCTGAAGCCCCTCGCAACCGATCGCGAAAGGCCGACCAGTACGCCAGCCCGACACTCCACAGCCATGCAACGTAGCACCCGCCTCGTACCCGGTACCGGAACACATTCTCCCCAGGACCAGTACTGGTCCCTTCAGAATGTCATCCCTAAACCCTAAACCCTAAACCCTAAACCGCAAAGCTGACTTGATAGCTTTTTGTTTGGGCAGGGACCCTGGGAGCCTGCAGCGAGCAGAATTCAAGGACTCGGGGGCTCCAGGCCATGCCCTGCCCTGCTGCCCTGCTGCCCTGCCGCCCTGCCCTGCCTTCCCACTGCTACAAAGGAAGAAAAGGGGCATGTCATGAGTTTAGGCCTAAACCCTCAAAGGAACAGGCTTGGGTGGTTTGACCGCCTTCTACGGCCTGGTGTGGGAAAGAAAGAAAGAAAAAGCCCCTCTACAGACAGGCTCACGCAGCTCGTCGCGATAGTACGATGCACTCGACACAACCTTGTCACAAGACACTAGCGCCTAAGCGCTATTCCACGGCAAGCCCAAAACCCTAAACCCTCGATCTCCAAATCCCCGAACCAAAACCCCTAAAGCCTACACCTCAAAACCCTTGCGCCTATTATTGATAATTAATCATGAGTTATTAATTATTGATTATTAATTGTTAATAATTATTAATTATCAATTATTAATAATAAGCTCAAACCGACAGAACCGGAAGCCTCTCCATGAGTCTCTTCATCCTACTTGGAGGTTCATGGGACTTAGTAAGTAAGGTTATAAGTCCCCTAATTGGGGTTATAAGTATAGCTACCGTCCTTTAAGTACTAAACCCTAAACCCTACAACCCTAAACCCTAAACCCTAAACCCTAAACCCTAAACCCTAAACCCTAAACCCTAAACCCTACTTACTAAGGCCCATGATCCTTTAAGTACAGCCTCCCGAGATCAGGCCCAGAGTTCAGGATATAGGGCCCAGCTTAGGCTAAGTCAAGGCAAAAATCGCAACAAATAAGGCTAAGGCCAAGGGTTGAATTAGGGGTGGGTTTGGGGTTTAGGGTTTAGGTTTTAGGGTTTAGGGTTTAGGGTTTAGGGTTTGGGGGTTTGGGGGTTTAGGGTGTGCCGATCGTTCCGCAGAGCCACCTTTTTTTGAGGCCCCATAGAACAGTAAATTAGGACAGGGCCCGGACCCTTCTCGATAGTACACCCAGAACACACCAAAACCCTCAACAATGTTACGTGGTATGATTGCTGTTGTTATCATTGCTATTGGCAGTGGTGGTCGTCGCCCTGAAACTGAAAACCCCAAACCCCCCAACCCCCAATATAGGGGCTTAATTTGTCGAATAGGGTTTTGGGGCCCACTATACTATGATTATCAGAAACAACCCCCAACAATAGTATGGGTAATTATTTAGGCCCCCATATTAAGCTGAGCCCCAGGTTCCTTATTATAGTTAAATAGACCCCAAAACCCTAGTCTAATTATTCAGGCCCCTAAATTTTAAACCCTTATAGTGGCCCTTATAGTATCCCTTTTTAAGGAACCCTTTAAAAGGAACCCTAGTCTAATTCTTAAGGCCACCCCATGTTAGATCTTGAAAAGCCGGGCCTCGGCGGTGAGCTGGCCGTCCTCGTAGATGTGATCCATGAAAGGCTGCCTCTTTCCGATCAGCGCCGTGGCCTGGCGAAATGGCAGCGTTTGAGGGGGTTTCGGGTTTCGGGTTTGGGGTTTAGGGTTTTCGTTTAGGGTTTAGGGTCTAGGGTTTCGGGTCAGGGTTTAGGGTTTAGGGTTTTCAGGTTTGCTTAGAAAACAGACTTTCTTTAATGGAACAATATCCGAACATGCAAGGCTTTGGGGTTGTATCCGGCCTGGAGTGTGCGACCTGTCTCGCTTTCGGGGATTTGCGCTTCAGAGTTCAGGGTTTAGGAGACCCAATCACAAAAAAAACAACCCAAAAAGTTTTTAAACTGCCAGAAGCTCGATTGAAGTTATGAAGGCCTCTATATCAGCAAATGCTAAAACAAGGCTTCGTGCATGATCATGCCGCTTCACATTTGCGATGTTCTCTTGCGATCCCCAAAAACTTTTTAAACACCATAAGAGCCGTTGAGGGTGCGGAAGCTGCTATAGCCTATCACGGGATCTCTCCAAGGGAGTGGTTGGAGGCTTGTTTCGACAGATTAGCCGCCTAGGGTTTGGCTTGTGGTTTTGGGGTTTGGAAATCAAGGCTCGATAGGAACATCACATCAGCCCATCGTGCGTCTCGTGTGCCGACATGTCCCTTCTGTGGCGATCGCAGGAAGCAACGAATACGCGGAAACTCCCCTGGCTGCGAGAGGGTTCAGGCCGAGGGGGTGGGGCACTTGGAGCATGAACCCGAAGGTCCCCGTTTCGAAACCCGTAAAGCACGACGTGCCGCATGGCTGAGCGGATTTAGGCCCTGGGCTCAAAACACAAGCCGGCATGACAATGATGGCGAAGAAGTACAGCACACATCCCATCATCACGTAGGTCCTGCCGAGGCTTTTCAGCACTTGGTGCGCGACAGTTCGAAGCGAGTAAGCCTTGAGCTTCCGAACCTTACTACACGTGGGAGAACCAGTACAACAACTCAGGTTGAACAGTATCAAGGCGGCAATACATAGTATA